GCAGTCCTCCCAGCCCGCAGCAAATCCTCACTCTATCTGGGCTCTCTGGCGTTCTCTGCTGCTTCTATGCCTTCTCTTTCGGCTTCTGCTGGCGTCCCCGTGACGCCGCCCTTAAAAAAGCACAGTCTTAGCCCAGGTGAATCCCATCCACCCATGCCCACACCCTACTCCAGGTGCCCGCCATCAGGCATGCATTCAACAAGGATCCATCATCTATCCTGATGGTGGGAGGGCAGAAAAGCCTGACATTTTCTTTACCCTACACTCCTCTTCCATCTTCTTTTGTGGTTTCTCCTGCTCTGCAGCTCTGATTGTTGAACTACGCACGGTTCAATCAAGGTTCTCCTCATTTTCTCTATAAACTCTCTCTTGGTGATCCAAATCAATTTCATGGACTATAGTTTAAATAAAGTAAGCTCCTCTATAACATGACTCCCAAAATTTATGTCCCCAGGTCATGTTCACTAGCCATTTAAATGCCTACTTGATTTCTCCATTTGGAGATGTAAACCATGTCCAACCTAACATATCTAAAAGAGAATTTCTGATTCCTGCTATCAAAATTCCTAGTAATCCTTTCCATTTCTCTCTCTGTGTGTATTTGTGTGTGTGTGTGTATGTGAGAGAGAGAGAGAGAGAGAGAGAGAGAGAGAGAATGAATTAGTTTATTCAATTGTGAGGGCTGTCCAAGCCAATCCAAAATCCTCAAGGCAGGCAGACAGGAAGGGAAGAACAGGCAGGCTAAAACTTTGAACTTCACAGGCGGACTACACTATCATATCATCATATTCTCTATTTCTCTTCTCTCTCCCTCCCTCCCTCTCTTCCTTTCTCCCCCTTTCTGTCTCCCTCCATCCCCTCTCTGTTTCCCAACAACCATATGACATTGGATTAATAATTATGTTATTCAATAGACACTAGGCTCTCTACCATCCCTGGCATTTGATACTGTCCAGCATTGAAACAGTTCTTTAAAAAAACTACTTAAAAAATATTTGAGTCTATCTCCCTCTTTCTAGTCCACACTTTAGTAAGGTAGCTTGGTCAAGTAATGTGGCTGTCCTCAGACAGAGATCATTTCCTTTTTGCTTTTTCACATTGCATTTGAGTCACATGGATATAGAGGACCATACGTGACCAAATTTTTCCTATTACATTTATTTTGCCTTTCTGGATTATTCACATGGTAATTAAGTTCACTTAGCTCCTAATTATAGTACATAAGATTCTGTTTTAAAAACAAAACTCTCTTTTCTTCATAATTTGGAAGTTATGGAAATTGTTTTCCCTGTAAGATTCTTTTAAGTGTTATTCTACTTTCTTGAATTAAAAAAGAAAACAAAGCATCTAACGAAATTTTCTCTTTTGAACCACAGTTAAGATACAAGATGCTTGGGCCTCCCTTGTGGCACAAAGGGCTAAGCACAGCACTGTGAAGCTACCCACAGCCTCTGCAGCATGAGTTAGCTTCCACCCCCACTGCCAGCCAGGGAGCTACCTCTCCTATCTTGCCCACTGCTCCCCTCAGCAGTGTATTTCAGTCAGTCTGCCTATTCTGTTCCCAACTCTGTCTCTGGTGAATCCTCTCAACTCCACCTCTGGTCTGTACCAGTTCTTGTATGCATAAATAAATAAATCTTAAAAAAAAAAAAAAGATACAAGATGCTTAACAGATAGCTCTAAGGAAAAGTGGATTTTCTTAAAGTGTGATATGATATATTACATTATATTAGTTTCTGGTGTACAGCCTAATGATTCAATGTGTGACTATATTGTAAAATGATCACCCCAATAAACCTAGCTAACATCTATCACCACACACAGTTATAATTTATTTTCTTTTGGTGAGAACTTCTAAGATCTATGGTGACCACAACTGAGGGGAGAAATGATAAATGTCCAAAAATTAACAGCAATGTATTTTAAAAGTACATTAAAAAAATTTAAATTTTGTTCATCAAAAGACATTATGAATTAAGAAAAAGACAATTTAAAGAATAGGAGAGAATATTTGCAAATCATACATCTGCTAAAGATCTAGTGTCCAGAATATATAAAGAACTCTAAGTGGGAGTTGGGGAATAATGGGGAGAGGGCAGCAGAGCACTAACTTTTCTGAGATATCCCTTTAGCAAGTAACAGTTGAAAATCAGCTCTCCATCCCACTCTTTCTTCATCCTTTCAAACTGCACTGTCCAATACAGTAGTCGCTACTCACATGTGACTGCTGAGCACTTGAAATGTGCTGGAGTGATAAGAAAGCAGAATTTTTCATTTTACTTCATTAAAATTTAAAAGTTAAAAAAACTTTTCAGATCTGCTCTCTAAGTAACATTCAAATCTATAATACATTACTGTTAATTACAGTCCCCATGCCATACATTACCTCCCAGGATCTTTATTTTTTTAAATAAGTTTGTACCTTTTGACCATCTTCACCCATTTCATACACCTCTCAGTCTTCTCATATACAGAGGGAGAATTATAGTATATGTCCATAGGGTTATTCAAAGTTTAGTACAATGCCTACCATCTGATAGGTACATAATAACTGTTAGTAATACATTATTTCTGTAGAATTTGAAGATTTATAAAACCTAATTTGGTTTTAGAAATCCTTGATGCACATGAGAATTATCTGGAAAACAAAAAAAGATGCCTGAGCTTCACCCCTTAGATCTTGATTTACTTAGGCTAGAGCCTAATTTAGTTTCCTTTTAATGCAATTTTTACACAAGATTGCACACACATTTCTTTGTAAGAACCCCAAAATGGAAACACCTAAAATGTCCTATAGTACATGAATGGTTAAAGAAACTGTGGGGTTCCATATCATGGAATATCACTCAAAATATAAGAGAACTATTGGTACATGCCACAACTTGGATGGATCTCAAGGACATTATGCAAAGTGGGAAAAAGTCAAACTCAAAATATTACATATGCATGATTGCATTTATATGACATTCTTGAAATGACAACATTATAGAGACAGAATACAGATAATGATTGTCAGAAGCTAGAGATGGGTGGAAGAGGGAAGGGGGTGGTATGACTGTAAAGGGGTAACATGAGTGACCTTGATGATGATGAAATAGTTCTAAATCTTGGTTTTGGTATTGGCCACATAATCTAAAATTGAATGTTAAAATTCATAGAATTAGACACAGACACACAAAAATGAGTACATGTAAAATTGGTGAGTCTGTGATTGTACCAATGTTAATTTCTTGGTTTTGATACTGTACTACAGTTGTCTAAGATAGCACGAATGTAGGAAACTAGGTTAAAGATTTCTCTGTACACATTTTGCAATGCCCAGTCAATTAATAATTGCTTCAAAAAAAAAAAGATAGCTACATACAACAACTTGGGTAGATTAAAAGGGCATTATAAGGGCCTTCCTGGTGGTGCAAGGGGTTAAGCACAGCACTATAAAGCTATCTGCAGCCTCTGCAGCACGAGTTTGATCCCCGGCTGGCCAGGGAGCTACCCACATGGCACTGCAGACCTCTCCTGACTCGCCCGCTGCTCCCCTCAGCAGTGTATTTCAGTCAATCTGCCTGTTCTGCTCTCCACTCTGTCTCTGGTGAATCCTCTCACCCCCCCACACACACACCTCTGGCCTCTACCCTGGGGGGAAATTGGTACCTGTGATTATAAAGGGATAGCATAAAAGAGATCTTTGCGGTGGTGAAAAGTTCTGTAATTTGATTGCAGTTATAGTCACAGGAGTCTCCACAGATGATAAAATGGCATGGAATTACACAAACACATTGTACCAATATCAATTTCCTGGTTTTGATACTGTACTAAAGGTATTCAAAATGTAACCATTTGGGAAAAATTTGGGCAATGAGTATAAAGGAGCTCTGTATTGTCTTTGCAGCTTCTGGTGAATCTATAAAGATTTCAAAACAAATTTTTTTTAAATGGCCCCCAGGTTTTATACATATTATATATGTGTGTGTATTGAATATATGTATGTATGCATGCTTATATAGAAACTTGACTTTTCAAGTTCACCTATCAGCTATTGACAGATACTCGGATATCCTACCCTGGACCACAACTGTTTAGCTCTCTTATACCTTCATCTATTTCTAGGGAACAACTCACTTCTCATTGTGTTCCCTATTTACTGGAACCTCCATATTCCTTCTTTGATTCGCTCCCTTTCTTTTAACAGAGAACGTTCTTTTTTTTTCTTTAAGATTTATTTATGCATACAAGAGCTGGGGTACAGACCAGAGGTGCAGGGGATGAGAGGATTTGCCAGAGAGAGAATGGGGAACAGAACTGGCGGATTGACTGAAATACACTGCTGAGGGAAGCAGCAGGCAAGACAGGAGAGGTCTGCTGTGCCATGTGGATAGCTCCCTGGCTGGCTGCGGATCGAACTCATGCTGCAGAGGCTGCGGATTGCTTCACAGTGCTGTGCTTAACCCCTTGCACCACCAGGGAGGCCCAAACAGAGTACATTCTTTAGAGCCTCTTGAGCACACTGGAAAAAAAGATTTTGAGGACTTATCTTTATTCTCCCCTCACATTTGATTGATAGAGTGGTAGCTCTAGAATTCTAGATGGAATTTCACTTTTTCTTAGAATTGTGAAGGCATTGCTTCATTGTGGCCCAGCTTTTCTATCCTTTGCATGTGAGTTTGTTCTACTCCCAATCACTCAAATTTTAGAATCTTCTCTTTAACCCTAATGCTCTAAAAATCTCACAAGCCTTTGTCTTTGTGTAGGAGGTATTCTCCATTCATTTTGCTGTAGATCCTTTCAATCCTGAGATTCACATACTTCTCTTCGGAGGAATTTTCTTGTATTTTTTTCCTTGATTATTTCCTCCTCTGTCTTACATTCTCTTATTTTGGAACTCCTTTTGAATGTTGGGACAGGTCAAATAGTTCTATGTCTTCATATTTTTCTGTCTTTATTCAGCTCTTTTTATTTCTAAGCCTGAAAGTGAGCATCAGGGAAGAAGACTAGAGTCTAACCATTAATCATGCAAATGTTCCCTCAGTTCGCATCCTCAGTGGGAACTGCCTTCTCTTCACTATTCCTCTTCTTCCCCAATCCAGTGTCTGAATCAACTCTGGAGAGTAAACTTTCGATCTTCATTGGCATAGTGAGTTGGACCCTACCTATATCAAGGAAAGAGTTTTAGAGACTTGTCTTAGCTTATTTGGGCTGCTATAATGAAAACACCACAGTTTAAACAACAAACATCTATGTCTTACCGTTTCAGATGTTGGAAAGTCCAAAATGAAGGTGCTGGAAGATTTGTGTCAAATGACAGATTACTTGCTGGTTCACAGACAAGTCTTCTTACTGTGTCCTTACATGCTGGCAGGAAGAAGGGAGGTCTCTTTTTATAAGGAAACTAATCCCAACCATTAGAGTACTACCCTCATTGCCCAGTCACCTCCCAAAAGCCCTTAGCTACTAATATAGCTCATTGGGGGCTAGTATTTCAACATGATTTTGAGGGGAATCAAACATTTAGTCCATAACAAGAATTTCTTTCTCATGTAGATTTTCATTTTCATACAGGTTTTCTCAAATTTTCAGTTCCACTCATATCCATGCATGTTGTGTTAATTTGAGCTTTTCCAGAATATGCTGTAAAATTTTACTTGCTTCTTGGAGTTACCCTCTTGCAGGCAGTTAGATTTGAGAAAATGAAAGTCAGCCCTGCTAGTAATCATACTGCCATATTCCTAACATAACATAAACAATGTTTCCAAAGGACATAGGCAAGGTCACATAAACAGTATTTTTAGCCAAGGCCATACCACAGCTGCAAAAATGACTAATAATCTTCTCCCAAGTGATTGCTGTTTTGTTACCAGTGACATCCACGGTTGATTTTGTTCCTTCAGCTTCCTGGGACAAGATTACTGAGCTATCTAACAGAAGAAATTCCCCTATGGGTCAACCAGAGATGGCACCCCACTTCCCTAATCACTCTTAGAATCATGAAGCACAAACTCAAGCCTATTAAAAGCCCTTCCCAATTCTCTCTGAGATGCTTCTGCTGCAGCAAACTAAATAAACATAATTTTGTTTAACCCAGGTGTATTCCTGATGATTGCAGACTGGTGAATGCGGATAGAGTTCAGCTTTCTGTGGCATGCTAAGTCAGTCAATTGACTAACTGGAATCTCCTTTTTAGGTTCTAAAATATTGCTGACCTCTTTCTCTGAGGTTGTCACAAGCTATATTCTCTTTCCTGCTTGCTGTGGACCAATATTCTATTGCCTAAGATTATTCAAATTGTATTTGCATCACTTTCCACAGATTCCTGACCATATTAATGGCAGAAAATGCACTTAGTTAGGAATCAATGAATGAATAAATCTGACATAGCCTTTTCCATTCTAAGCATCTAAGTCATGACACTGAATCCTGACAATATTTGTATATTCCCAAACCCAGTCCCCTATAAAGTGTTACACTGGCTTACCAAATTCCAACTATATGTCAAATTCCACAGGAACAAAACTTAATTCATTCTCTTTCCCAACAGACTTGCTCTCCCTTCCTGCATTCCTTGTGCCAGTTAATCTATCATGTCATCAGTCACACAAACCAGACACTGGAAATTCATTCCAGATTGTCCTTCTTCCTCACCTCCATATACCCTATTATCAACAAAATCTGACAATTTTACCTCCAAAATGCTTCTTGAATTTGTCCTGTTCCTCTATATCTATTACTACTATCTTATTTAAGGTCTTTATCATCTGTCACCTGGAAAAACTGCAATTATATCTAACCCTTCCTTCCACCTCCAGGAAAGAGAATCACTGCACAGTGTTGGTGCTAGAACTCACAACTAAAATGCACATCTGATGTTTAAGCTTATCATTGGCTTCCTATTGGCTACAGGATAATGTCTGAACTGTTAGTTACGCAAAGAAAATCCCCCCAGATCTGGTTTCTGCCCATTTCTCCAGTATAAAAACACATGCCACTTCAAATTTATTTTTTTCTTCTAGAAACTCCAAAACGTATTTTGTTTGCCTCTCATTCCCTTTGTTTATACATTTCCTCTAGCCAAAAACCTTCCCCATCTTTGTCACATGGCTGATTTCTACTAGTTTTTGCAAGAATCCCTTCCTGCCCTGCACTCCCCAACCCAGGTAACATTTGTCTAACATAGAAGACATGGTTTCATTGGGAGAAGCTTTCTATAATCCAACTTTGTATTCCCCAGTGAGGAGCACAAATACAGGTACTTAACATGTATTCTACAAATAATGTTATTTTCAACATGAATAACTATATAAGGAAGAATTGTCACCCTCTTTTGTGACTTTTTTTTCAAATTCAAGATGCCTTGGGCCTCCCTGGTGGCGCAAGGGATTAAGACACAACTTATGAAGCTATCTGTAGCCACTGCAGCACGAGTTTGATCCCCGGCCAGGGAGCTAACCACATGGTGCAGCAGACCTCTCCTGACTCACCCACTGCTCCTCTCAGCAGCATATTTCAGTTGATCCACCTGTTCTGCTCCCTACTCTGTCTCTGGTGAATGCTCTCACCCCCCACACCTCTGGCCTGTACCCCAGTTCTTGTATGCATAAATAAATCTTTTAAAAAACAAATTCAAGATGCCTATTTTCATAAATTTGTAAACACTTTTTTTTTTAGTTAATAATGTGTCAGTATTAAATCATTAGTTGAGACAATTGTATTACAGTAACACAGGAAATGAGTAATTGGTGAAATTGTGTTATGGATATATGAGAACCCAGTGGACAGTGTTTGTAACTTTTCTGTACATATAAAACTACCCTAAAATAAAAGTTTTAGGGGAATAAAGTCATCAAGATGGCAATATAGTTTGTTTCTGACTTCAATCAACCTCAAAAGAAGACCAACTAGCAGTTATCCAAGGACAGGACACCACTGTGAAAATCCCAGAACCTGGGGGAGAAGCAACAGGCTAGACCACATGTAAAGGCCGGACTGACCACAGTGCAGGTTTTCTGATCCCATGCAGACCGGGTAAAGGAGGAGTCAGAGTCCTCAGTGGTTTTGCAGGTCTTTTATTGGAGTTCAGCGGGTATGTGCAAGGCAGGGGTGCTGGCTGGGGGGCTGGGAGCCCCCAGCAAGTCTTCACTCTATCCGGGCTCTCTAGCGTTCGTTCTGCTGCTTCTCGGCTTCTCTTTCAGCTTCTGCTTCGGCTTCTACTACTTCTACTGCTGCTGCTGCTGCTGCTGGCGTCCCCGTGACGCCGCCCTTAAAAAGCACAGTCTTAACTCAGCTGAATCCCATCCACCCATGCCCACACCCTATTCCAGGTGCCTGCCATCAGGCATGCATTCAGGACAAGGATCCATCATCTATCCTGATGGCAGGAGGGCAGAAAAGCCTGACATTTTCTTTACCCTACACCACAGAAACCAAGAAGGACTGTACCGAAAGTGTAAAAGGATTGGTTTCACTCTGACCACATCACCTCTCTTCTGGGCAACACAGGAAAGGCCCCCAAAGCCTATGGTTTCTCCTGTGGGGAAAAGTGCCCAAGGAAGACATCCAGTTTCCCCAGCATAGCCAAACACTTCCCAGAATGCCACATGGGTCCTTGTACAGGAATTCTCCTAGTATCACCTTATGATGACCTGTTTCTACATCTCATCTGACCAGACTTCTGTCTTAATACAATCTCTAAGGGAAGAATTCAAGGGAGACTGGAAAACAGTTGTTAATTTGGACACATTTCCGTCTCCAGTCAAATCAAGATTTAGTTCACAAGGAAGAGGGCAAGGTATGGTAGACAGGGAACTAGGAATATCAGTCTCAACAGTTTATCTTGATTTTTACTTAACCTTTAACTTTCACAGGTCCTGAATGAGATTTGAAAACAAAAAATGAAGCATTCAATGAAGTAAGAAGTGTTAAAAATGATAAACTAAGAAAATAGCATTGGATTACATATGTTGTACATAATAATGCTTTGTTTCTCACTGGAAAATGAGACTTCTGAATCTAATATTATGGAGCCAAATAAATCAATAAAAACAAGTAATTTCCCTTTTTTTCCTCCCAAACATCCAATTATTTTGTTTTGAAACTGCCTGCTTTTTGTTTTGTCTTTTTTTAAAGATTTATTTATACAAGAACCGGGGTACAGGCCAGATGTGCAGGAGGGTGAGAGGGGAACAGAACAGGCAGGCTTACTGAAATACACTGCTAAGGGGAGCAGCGGGCGAGACAGGAGAGGTCTGCTGCGCCGTGTGGGAATCTCCCTGGCCAGCGGGGATCGAACCCGCGCTGCAGAGGCTGCGGCAGCTTCACAAGGCTGCGCTCAACCCGCTGCGCCACAGGGGAGGCCCCTTTTTCTTGATTTATTAACCTCATCTCCCTTGACATGGTTCAGCCTTCACCTCTTCACAAGTGGGTATGTCTGAGTTCAAATCTTTCAAATGGATACATTTAACCTTCATTCCCAGATAGTGTGAATAAAGTCAGTGCTCTAGAAACATTAAAAGTGTCATAGAAAGACTGTAGAAAGTATCATTATTAATATATCCTAATTAGGAAGTATAGTGAGATTTCATTTACTTATTAGTTGGAGAAAAAATAAAACCGAAAGCAATTGAGAACAGAGAAAAAATTTCATGACCAAGTGGAAACCTCATCAGAGCAGTTTCGATGGGCTCTCAGAGAAAGGTTCAGGAAAGGAAAAATGAACGTAGGATTTTTTTTTTAAGTCAAAAGTCTGTATTTGCCCATTTTAAGAAAGCAAATGAGTCTGGGAGTGTTGACGGGCTCACTAGATCTGGGCTTGATGGTTTTGAAAGCACTGGGCTAGCTACTTAGAGGAGTGAGTAGTTTGGCACTTAGGAATCAGGTATCCCCGTTGGGGATGCAAGGTCCCTAACTCAGAAATACTGCACGCAGCTGCCTCATGTCAGGAGTATGTCTCCCTCTCAGTTCTCTACTAAGGGCAGCTAGCTGGAGATGGCCGCAACAGTTTATCAATCCATTCAACAGGTTAAATCCCTAGACTGTTTACCTACTCCAACCTTTTAGACTAAGCTAGGTTTCCTGTCATGGGCTCCCATCAAACTCATTACTTGACACATTTCAGAGCTGTCTGATTGCTTAACCTCTCTACTCTGCTATAAGTAAAGACCTACAGGGCAAGGACCATATCACTGTCACTTATATTGCTGTATCACCATTACTTAGCACATTACTGGACATGAGGTTTCATAAATATTTTATTTATAAAATGAATGTGCCTCTATGTAAGACGCTGCTCAATAGGGAAATGGAGCGACAAAGAATTCAATAAAACTGGAACTCAAAGTCTGCAGAGAGATAAAGTTCACGGGGGTGGAATCAAATTTTGTGAGGACAAAGGCTTATGAAAATTTGGGGAACCACTTTAAGAAAAAGAATATAAAATCATAAATGCAAAATTAAACACCACATCTTGGAAGAGGTTGCAATTAAGGGAAGTTAAAGTTTAAGCTCATTCTCTTATAGAAGATGCATCTAGTGGTAAGTGGATTAATGTACCAAATGCTGTGGAATCTCTGAGGAATGACCTAAAATCTCTGCCAGGGAAAATCAAAGATTTCATAGGAAATCAAAGATTTCATAAAAGGAAAAACTTTTATATAAGTTTGATTTTACAGACAAAAACAGAAGAAAGATATTGCAAGTGGAAAAAATATGCCACAACACACTGGTGAGAAAAAGCTAGACTATCTCAGTGGAATAGTAAGTACTATTTGACTAGCGTGGGGTTGGGTGTGGAAACCCATAAAATAGTGGTTCTTAAAGTGTGATTCTGGGTCAGCAGCCTCAGCACAACCTGAATATTTGCTAGAAATGTAGCTAGCTAGACTCCAGCCCAGACTTGCCCAATTGGAAAACTCTAGAGTTAGAGCACACAAATCTTAGCAAGGCTACGTGGTGATCCTAATGCAGGTAAAGTATAAGAAACAATGCATTAGGAAGTTGCTTGAGCATCAGATATAATTATTTTATTCTTACTTTTAATTTCAGGCTGTTAAGCAAGATGGAAAGAAATAAGAAAAAATATTACCTCCCCCAAATTAAATATAAACTAAAAAATTAAAGTAAAAAATGCAACAGTGTAGGGTAAAGAAAATATCAGGCTTTTCTGCCCTTCTGCCATCAGGATAGATGATGGATCCTTGTCCTGAATGCATGCCTGATGGCGGGCACCTGGAATAGGGTGTGGGCATAGGTAGATGGGATTCAGCTGAGCTAAGACTGTGCTTTTTTTTTTTTTTTTTTTTTTTTTTTTAAACTTTTTTTTTTTTTTATAGAGGCATGTTTTTATTTATTTATTTATTTGTTCGTTTGTTTCGTTTATACATGCACTGGGTACAGTCAGAAGCGCGGGAGGGTGAGAGAATTCACCAGAGCCAGAGCAGGGAGCAGAGCAGGCAGAAGGACCGAAGTACACTGCTGAGGGGAGCAGCGGGCGGCAGGAGAGGTCTGCGCACCATGTGGGACCCTCCTCTGGTGGCCGGGGAGCAGCCGGGAATCGAACCGGCGCTGCAGAGGCTGCGGGCAGCTTCGCAACCCAGCGCTCAACCGCTGCGCCACCGGGGAGGCCCGCTAAGACTGTGCTTTTAAGGGTGGCGTCACGGGGGGACACCAGCAGCACCAGTAGCAGCAGCACCAGTAGCAGCAGTAGAAGCCGAAAAGCAGCAGAACGAACGCCAGAGAATCCAGATAGAGTGAAGCCCCCCAGCCAGCACCCCTGCCTGCCATATGCCTGGTGAACCCCAAATAAAAAACCTGCAAAAAACTACTGAGGACTCTGGCTCCTCCTTTACCCAGTCTGCATGGGATCAGAAAACCTGCCCTGTGGTCCAGTCCTGCCTTTACAAACAGATTTTGGGTAGATTATGTCAACAGAAGGCCAATAACAGAAACTGTAAAGGAAAAAATTGATTTCAATTAATTTCAAATTGTTGATTTTATAACAATTTAATTTTTTGTACAATTAACAATTTTTTTAAAATCTAGAAAGTTATCTACAATATACATTTCAGGTAAAAAGCTAAAAAGATTATTTTTAAAAATAGACAAACAGTTCTTAAAAATGGACAAAGGGTATAAACTGAAAATTCACAAAAACAATACAAATCACCAATAAACATTTAATTTCACAGAAAACAACAAATACAAACTAAAATTGAAAACTACATTTTACTTACAAAGTTGGCAGAGATTTTTTTTTTTTTTTTTTTTGGTGGGACCCTCACCAGTGGCTGGGAACGCAGAGGCCACCAGCAGCCTCACAGCCCAGCGCTCAAGGGCTGTGCCACCAGGGGAGGCCCTGGCAGAGAATTTTTAAAGGTAGAAACAATGTAGAAACAATGTAAGTTTCTGCCATGTAACTATATACTCCCTTACAGTGGAACACCAAAGTTCCATTAACAGCACAGAGAATGCTAATACTACATTAAGTGGGGAAAAAAGTTGTTACAAAATAACAAATAAAAATAATATAATTTTTAGGGCCTCTCTGGTGGCACAAGGGATTAAGACACAACCTATGAAGCTATCAGCAACCTCTGCAGCACACGTTCAATCCCCAGCCAGGGATTCCCAGGCAGGGAGATATCCACATGGCGCCACAGACCTCTCCTGACTCACCCCCTGCTCCCCTCAGCAGTGTATTCCCCACCCATCCTTAAGAGGCAGGGCAGGAAAAAGGTAAAAACAAAAATGAAACTACAAAATGTATTTCAGTTAATCAAGGAACATCAAGTTGCCTCTGATTTGTGATAACATAAGTGATATGTAAACACCGTAATGTTCTAATTTACTTTATTGAGTAAATACAGAAAGTATGGTTTAGTTTTTGTGTATATGTGCATGAATGTGTGTTGTTTTTAAGTCATGTACAGGATGGGGGGAAATGTGTGTTTGTTATCATTATAAAATATTTAAAATAAAACCTCATCTTAAGATGCAAAGATTTTGTTTGGCATCAGACTATTCTCTTAAGATAGTCTCCTAACACCCCCTTGTGGCTCCACAGTATCAGATTGGGAACACAGCTCAAGCAGCCTAGAGAAGAAAATGACTCACATTGTTCTTTATAAATTCAACAAATGTTTGCACTTCCTAGTCTGTGTCAGGTATTAATAATACAGGATTAAAAGATGCTTCTGCAAAATCGTTCATGACATAGGCTTCTGTGTTGTCTCTAGGGACTCCACTACAACAGCAAAGGAAACAAAAAAGCAAAAATAAACAAATGGACTACATCAAACTAAAAAACTTGTGCACAGCAAAATAAACTATCATTAAAAGGAAGACAAATTTCTGAAGAAAATGTTCTATATCATGCATCAGAGACTACTACCCAAGACTTAGAAAAGACTCATACAACACAAGAAAAAAAATCAACAATCCAATCAAAAGATGGGCAGAAGAGCTAAAAAGACACTTCTCCAAAGAAGACATCAGATGACCAACAGGCACATGACAAAATGGTTATCATCAATTATCAAGAGGGAAGTGCAAATCGGAACCATAATGAGATGCCAACTCATCCTGTGAAAATGACCCTCATCAAAAAGTCAAGAATGTGGAAAAAAAGGTACTCTCATAAACTTGGTGGAAATGTAGCCCTGTCTAGCCCCTATGAAAACATGGCAATTTCTCAAAATATTAAAAATAGATCTATGATATGATGCAGCAATTCCACTTTTAGATATCTGAACAATAATAAAACACTAATTTAAAGGAATATATGCATTCCTATGTTGCAGCTACTGCAGCGCTATTGACAATAACCTATGAAAACAACCTACGTACCTGAAGACAAAGGAGTGGATAAAGATGTGATATATAATGTGATATATATATATATATATATATATATATATGAGCAATGGAACACTACTCAGCAGGGAAAAAGAGAGATGAAATTTTGCTATTTGTGACAAAATAGATGGAACTGAAGGGGATAATGCTAAGTGAAATAGGAGGAGAGAGTCAAATACCAGATGATTTCTTTTATATGTGGAATGTAAAAAAACAAAGCAAAAGAATTTAAAAAAAAAAAAAAAAAAACCCTGGGAATCTGTAGAACTGAAGTTACCAGAATGGGAGGAGTGTGATCAAAGGGTGAGGGGATGGACTGTGGTGGTGGATTGATGTAGTATCACGTCCCTCTGAAAGAGGTGTGAACCTATCTCTAAAACACAAACACTGTTGGAAACCAACTTTGCCTCAATTAAAAAAAAAAATGCTTCTAAATTTCTTCATACTTTATATTGGCCAGAACGGCCAGTGTAAACATTCGTTTATTTAGGCTGAGCACATGGATATATTATGAGATCATAACAATTGAGCCCCCCATACTAGTGCTTCTCTCAAATATGGTTTTATCTCCTGGGAGACAGTTGAGGGCATCAGAGTAAGGGTTGTGACTGCTACGACCCAGGAATTGATTGGTTAGCATTCGGAAATCAGAAAAAGCGAGGATTGCAGCACTGTCTGCGGACCTTTAGCATATGATATCCACATGCGTCTCATTCAGCCACTTCATCATCACTTAAACCTGGTTCCCGAGACTGCAAAAAGGAAAAGATCTACTCTCTACCCCCTCACACTTTTACTTTCCTAATTTGTAAATTAGGACTAACAACCTCAACTTCAAAGGATTAAACACGACCACACGTGTACCAGGACGTTCACTTTTGAAACCCAGTTCACAAACTCCTTTACGCTTATTTAATTTAGCCCCCTCCACATCTGCCCAGAGAAATTCATGTCAGAAAAGGAAATAAATCATCTCATCCAATCCCCTGGACCAATATTCATTCCACCAAGAATTCCTGTATCAAGGACTCTGGCAGAAACCCAACCCCGACTACCGACCTCCACGCCTTCACCCTCCAGCCCTAGGGCCGCATCCCAGACCGTGTTGGGGGGACCCGACTAAAACCCTGCCAGCGCTCCTGTTCTCCCCATCAGGCCACGGCCCTTAGGGGGCTGCCATGTCCCGGCGTCGCCTCAACGCGCCAGCGCCTTCCCGCGCGCGCCCTGGAGGAGCGGGTGGGCAGGGGCGCCGGGCCCGCGCGGACGCGAGGGGGAGCCGGGAGTGGGCCGGGGAAAGGCCCTCCCCCGCTCCGCCGGGAGCACTTCTAGGGGCGGGACCCCGCCCGGAAAAAGTCCGCGGCGGCGCAGAGGAGCCGGCAGGGGGCGCGGGCCGCGAGGCCACCCCGGGGCTGGAGGCCGGTGGTCCCTTCCAGGCCCAGCGCGGCCGGGCCGCGCGCCGCTCCCAGCCCCCACACTCACCTCGTCACCTCCCCGCCCTCCCGGCGGGCCCCTGAGGTGCGCGGCGCAGGCGCGGAGCCGGCGGTGAGTGCGGCGCGGAGTAGGGCCTGGGGCCTGGCGGCCGGGGCTGGGGCGCGCGGGAGGGAGAGGGGCCGGCCCGGCGCGGCGCCCGGGAGCGCGAGGGTCACCGCCCGCCGCGGGGTGCCCGCAGGCCCCGCCGCCCGCTCTCGGCCGCCTCCGCCTCGGAGCAGCGCCTGGGCGGGCCCGGCGGGCCCCGGGGGACGGGTGAGTGTGAGGGAGGCGCGGGCGGGCCCGGCGCGGGGCCGCTGCGGGGGCCGCGGGCTGACGGGCGCAGCTGCCCGCCGGGGAGGGCGCAGGGGACCCGATGGCGGCTTCTAAAGCGAAACCTGCCTCCGTTTGACGGCGGGCTCGTCGTCCCCTCCCCCAGCCTGTGGGCAGTTCCACCCCCGGGGTGGACGCCTGCGGCGCGCTCAGCTCGGCCCCTGCCTGTTTATCACTGTGGGGCCTTTGGGGTCGGCGCTTGGAAGTCCCGCTGGCCGGGGGGGTGCTGTGCGCGGCGCGGGGATGGAAGCCGAGCGGCTGGGTCCGGGCGACTCCTGCCCGGCCGCGGGGATGGGCGCACGCCCGGCGGTGGCTGGGCTGCGGGCGCCCCTGGGTGCCACGCTGGCCCTGCGACCCCGCGGGGCGGCCCCGTCACCCTCCAGGTGGGCATCCCGGCGAGGAAGACGCGAGCCACAGCGGTCCCCGAGCGCCAGTGTCCAGCCTGGAGTCTCTGCCACTCCTTTGGGTGTTTCTACATCCCTTTGGATTTTGATTTTCAGTGCAGCCCAGCAAGGGACTCGAGTCATCTACAGCAGCTGAGCTCTTCGCAAAGAAATAAAGATTTGTAATAAAGCAAAGACGGACAATAAGTTGGACATGTAAGGGGTTCTGGTTCAAGCCCGCAGTGTTTCAGCTCTTTCAAAATCTGGAAAATATATACTTGTTTAAAAATGAGCATGAAAACGTGTTTTGGGGACGGTTTAATATAAGGTGGTAGCTGTTGTAAAGGCGTGTTTGTATACCCGTTAGGAGGAGAGTATGTACATTGCGTGAAAGGCCTTAAAAAAGCTTCGTAAATTTGATGTGTGCTGTTATGGGATTTGAATATAGACATTCTTGTTGAACACAAAAAGGAAGGTGAAACGATGCAGACATATAAGATGCTTTTTTAAAAAAATGTTTATGGTACAAACTCATTTTTGTGAGTGTAAAATATGTATGTATTCCCTAACATCGGAAAATGTCTAGATGTCTGTACAACAAAATATTACTAGTGGGTGAATCGATCTAGGTGATTTAATGAATTTCAAGGCTTTTTTTTTTTTTTTTTTTTTTTTTTTCTAATTTTCCCGCAGTGGCATGTGCTACAGCTGTAGATTGTCTTCACGTGAGAATATGGGTTATTTTTAAGTGCGGAAAAGGGAGTGAATGGTACATTACAAGTGACTCAGAATCTTGCCAATGAAAAGACTAGTGAACAACTGTTTATACGACTTCCCTGAGTAAAAAGCTTGACTTCATCAAGGCAGTTATGCATTTAAAAAGGTCATAAAAACATTTGCTGAAATGAAGAATGGCTAGCATTTTATATGTTGAATAGGTGTCTTAGCATCAGGTTTAAAGGAGGTCTGATAAATGTTTGGATATTGTTGCAGCCTTCGGTAGAAGTCAAACCTTTCCTGATAAAGGTGATCCTAGTCCTCACACCCGACATTCTAAATCCTGACCAGTTTGCAACATTAATATGTTTGGTTTCCTTTTCTTCTTCATTCTGCAAGTTGTAAAGAACTTGAATTATATTCTGATTAACAAGAGGACTGTGCCCATATGTTTGACTGATAGTTTTCAATAGTCTCCCTGATATTTTTAGAGTATTTAGAACATTAAGTGTGACTTGTTTGGCAATGTAAGTTCTACAAGTGTACAAGAGGCATTAAGTTTTTCTTTTATTTTTTGAATGTTGTTGATTAGGATGATCACAGAGATGCCTTTTATGTCATTAGATGGAGAGCGCGCGTGTGTGTGTGTGTGTGTGTGTGTATGTGTGTGTACAATTTCTGTAAAATCTGTTTGTCCATGTCTTTGCTCCATCCCTTTTCCCACCTCTCACTTGGTAGTTGAGTATGAACTGAAAGCAAGATATAACTTGCTGGTAGCAGTGATTAGCAGTTAAGATCTATTCACATTCAAGTTAGTTAGTTGTTCAAAACCCAGGAGTCAAAAGACATGCTTTTTCATCTCTGGTTCTGTGGCTTTGTCAACTTGACTTTGACTGAATCTGTTTCCTCATCAGTAAAATTGGAGTGCATTTGATAGTTGCCCCTCTCTGTACTTCACAGGATTGTTACGAAGGCTAAATAAAACAGGGTTAGGAAAATGCGCGCTAAACTTAAAAGTACTATTTTGCTACCTACCATATGATCACATCACCTGTACTGCTGAGATACCCAAAACTTAGTGAAGTCAAAGATAACAGTATGTGCACCTTAACTTCCTTACCACTAGAAGTGAGAAGTGATGGTCTTACTAATGATACTAAGTTCTACCTGCATGTAAATCACCTTGATAAGAAAAGCAGCATAGAAATCTGGTAGAGAAAACTTTAACAAAGCATTTCTTTACCTGATAGTCTGTGCCTGTTCACTGCTGTATTGGAAAGAACACTAATCCGAAATGGAAGAGATAGTTCTGATTCTGATGTGAATCTGTCACCTGAATATACATTGGGTAATCACTTTATATGTCTAGTTGTTTCCAAAACTAAAAGGGATTGAAAGTGTGGGGCTTTAAAATCAGATAGATCTTGACAAATCCCACCCCTACCAGTAGTTAAGTATTCCCTTTGACTTTACTGTGCCTCAGTTTTCTCATCAATAACAAGAGGCAAGTAATAACAATTTTGAATGAACGGTGTAGATTTTGCATAAGATTATGTAAATTGGGCCTCCCTGGTGGCGCAGGGGTTAAAGACAGTGCTGTTGAGCCCTTGCAGCCACTGCAGCCTGAGTTCGATCCCCTGCTGGCCAGGGAGCATCCTACAGGGCACGGCAGACCTCTCCTGCCTTGCCCGCAGCTCCCCTCAGCAGTATATTTCAGTAGAACTGCCTGTTCTGCTCCCACTCTCTGGTGAATCCTCTCACTCCCCCAATAACTCTGTCTTACACCCCAGGTCTTGTATATATAAATAAGTAAATCTTTCAAAAAAAGGTTATGTAAATTGTGTGAACAGCCTGGTACATAATTGGTGCTCCATAAACAATCATATTATTCTTCTATTGTTAAGTAATTATAAAGATCTAAACAGTTTAAAGTTTGATTTGGTGTTTGCTTCATTATATTTGCTTTTATTACTGAATTAACTAATTCAGATATTTTCCTCTTGTTAAAGTATAGCTATAACTTTAGAAGGTAAATTCATTTCAAAGAACTGACATAAACATATGTTCATGTTTTTCATTATATATGACATTTAGCACTTAATATAGTATCTTTAAAAGAATATTATACTTAAATTAACTGTGTAACTTCCCAATTGATTAAAAATCTGGTACCATTGTATTTTTGAATATTGAAATTATATTTTTGCTAATAGGACTTCTGTCTTTTGTTTCCTACAGATACTTTTTTACTATCAGTGAAAACTTCCATCATTCATTTTCTTCGCTCTAATACCAAGAACTATATCAAGTAAGTAGAATGTAATAAAACTAGTCAGTTTTATAGTAGTTCATGGAAATTTAATCATACAATGATGGTTGCCATACCTGTTCTGTTGTCAATAGAATGTTCAATGTGTCCTCATATATAAGGATTTTTTTTCTTGAAAGTTAGCTTCTGCACTTCTATATAATAAGTATTTTTCTGAAAGCTAGCAGCTTAATACAGATTTGTGACAGTATTTTGTGAAAAGTTTTCACTGTTTCAGAGCATTCCCAATTGCAAGAAATGTACCTGTAAAATTCTTAATATGGTGCCACAGGCACAATTTTTAAATAAAGAATAAACAAAGTAATACTACTGATAATTTAAGTATAAGACTTATATTATCCAGTTCTCACAATTACATCAACATTTAAAAAAGAGTTCTCGACATCACCAAGAAAGAAAACAGAAATTAATGTTCTGCCTTTAAACTTGATCAGAAAAATAAATCCAGAATATAAAGAGATATTTTTAACATTTCTCTTGTGGATTTTCACGTGGCATAAACGTCTCTTATTGCCAATAAATTCTTTGGTTAGGAGGAATTTTTATAACAGTTGTTATTTGTGATGTATTTGTTAAATTTTTTTCATTTTTAGATTGAAAAGATATGAATGAATATCCTAAAAAAAGAAAAAGGAAGACGTTACACCCCTCTCGTTACTCAGGTCAGTGTGTAATTTGAATTAAAAATTGAGCCATGGATTAATTACCATGTAGTTGTAGTCCCATCCATTTTCTCAGCAGTCACTAGATAAGAGTTAAATATCTGAATCAGTTTTTAGGGAAGAGAAAGCTTTGAATGAATGTTCTGTGTATTTTAATCCTCCTTGTCTGCCATATGTTAGGCATATATAAGAATTTTATGGACATTCATTTATTTTAAAGATTTATTTATACAAGAGCTGGGCTACAGGCCAGATGCACAGGAGGGTGAGAGGATTCAACAAAGACAGAGTGGGGAACGGAACAGGCAGACTGACTGAAATACACTGCTGAGGGGAGCAGTGGGGAGACAAGAGAGATCTGCCTCACCATGTGGTTTGCTCCAAGGCCGGTGGGGATCAAACCAGCACTGAAGAGGCTGCAGACAGCTTCATAGTGCTGCGCTCACCGCACCACCAGGAAGGCCCCATTTTTATTTAATCCCTACTTCATGGTTTATAGATACTTAAAAGTAGATATCCAAGATTACATACTTATAACATAAGTAAAATTTGCCAAGCTTGTTTTAAGGCACAGCATTATTAACCTTGGGGGAAAATATTCTGCATCCTTGGCGGAAAAGTCTTTAACTTATGTATTATTTTCAGAGATTATGAACTTTAACTTTGTGCAATTTTAACTTTGATGGGTCCATTCTATGTTAAATTGTTCTTTGTGGCCATCTTTCACTGATATACCTCACAAATATACAAATATTTGGGGCAGTCTCAGGCATACCTGTTAGCCCACCCAAATCTACACACTTTTTATACCTAATGAAATTAAGCCTATTTTGCTGCTTACTAACCCCTCCCAGACAAGACTTGAAATGACAGTTGTTAGAAATCCTCATTGATCCTCAGACCATTTGTCCTATGTATTGTGCTTACTTTGCACTACATGGAAGATTTTCTTAGTTAATTCAGTGTTTTTTTCTGGAGTTAACATCTTTATCACATACTTATATTTTACGAGATTCTGACTAAGGTAAATATGTATCTTGTGCTTCAAAGTACAATTGAGCTTTGAACACATTGGGATTGAATTGTGCAGATCCACTTATACATGGATTTTTTTTTTTTTTTTTTTTTTTTAGTAAATACAGTTGGAACCCCCATATCTAAAGATTCCACATTCCACATTCAACCAACCACACATGCAGGGCCCGTAGATACAGAGGACCAACTAATATGGGACTTGAACATCCTCACATTTTGATATCCCCTGGGACTTGTTATACCAGTCCCCCACTGATAGCAAGGAGTGTCCGTACTTAACTTTTTGGGAAGTGAAACATATTATACCCAAATTTCCAACTGTGCAGGGTTCAGTGTCCCAAACTCCCTTACATTGTTCATGGGTCAGTTGTATGTTAAATTGTTTGATTTGTGAGTCTTTGAAAGCTCAGTATAAATACTAGGTTTGCAGTGTAAAAGCTTTCAAAATTGAGGGGAATACTTTATTGCAAATACTGTGATAATTTGTTATAAAGAGATGGCCATCATTAAATGTATATATTCTGTATACAAAATTTTTTTGGTTTTGTTTTATGTTCAGATTCCTCGGGAATAAGCAGAATTGCAGATGGATTCAATGGAATTTTTTCTGATCACTGTTACAGTGTCTGTTCTATGAGACAACCAGACTTAAAATACTTTGACAACAAAGGTATATCTGATATTTCCTAAAATATTTTTCTTGAAATTGCTTTTATATTTTTTTCATTTCTTATTTGAAAATGTGTTTGAAAGTTTTGAATTCAAAATATGCAGGTGTTTGAATTTGTTATAATGTACGGACACAAGAGTTCCAGGTAAGAAAACAAATAATTTATCTTTTAACGGTATTTCAGACATATAAATAAAAACATATTCTCCAAAGCCCATTTTAGTTGTCTAGCAATTGATGGCAAAGCAGGAATGACCCAGAGTTGGGAGCATTTATGGTGATTAAGAATCATGTACACAGGGTTCTTCATTCAGCTATACCTTTTAGTCTGAGGCTAATGGAAGAAAAGGACCTCAGAGGACGATGGACTTAATTTTTTTTTTTCAATTTTATGTCTTCTATTGAATGATAGCAGCTTAAATTTGTTCTCTTCTTCCACTTTAACCACTGAAACTCCCAAATCCCTTGAGCTCCTCTGTGTTAAAAACATGTCCTCACGGTTAATCAATGTGAAGTCTTGTTTGGGTTAATGTAGATACAGATGGTTACATGCAGTAATATTTATAGATATGTTCATAGGTATATAGTAGCATATACACACTTACTTTTTTTCTGTTAAATGAGAATGCATAGGGCCTCCCTGGTGGTGCAGGCGGTTGAGCGCTGTACCGTGAAGCTGTCTGCAGCCTCTGCAGCATGGGTTCTATCCTGGCTGGCAGGGGAGAAACCCACATGGCGCAGCAGACCTCTCCTGTCTCACCCGCTGCTCCCCTCAGCAGTGTATTTCGTCAATCTGCCTGTTCTGTTCCCCTCTCTGTCTCTGATGAATCCTCTCACCCTCCCACACATCTGGCCTGTACCCAGTTCTTGTATAAATAAATAAATCTTTAAAAAAAAAAAATGAGAAGGCGTAAAAGAAATGACATCCCATTAGAAATGAAGACATTTGTTACCCAGATCTCAGTTTTTAATACCATCCTCCAATAAAAGGGACTAGGATTTCTTGGAGAAATGGCTGATTCTAGTACTGGGTAGGAAATATACATAATGAGGCTGGAGTCTTATACATGCATACACAGAGTTGTGATAAAGGTATGCCAAAGGAGCAGGGGGGCCAAATGAAAGGGCTTCTAGTAACTACAGCTGAAACAGTGGGGGGAGGGATTGAATTATAACCCCAAGTATAAAACAAATATCCATGAGTCTATGAAGACATAAGTACATATATGAGTATGTAAATGAGGCAGAAGAGACAAATGTCCTGTCTAGAAGAATTCCAAATTTGTGTGTGTAGGTACACTTCATAAATGAGGTGGATCATAAGTCCCCACTCCTTGAGTGTATACTGCACTAAGTGATTTTCCTCCAAAGCTTTAGAATATAGAAAGTAAAAGTATATTTACAGTGGAGAAACCTGATAAATACTACCTCATCTGGTGATCAGGCCAACATTGACATATTAATGGTATGTATCTTTGATAGGATGTAGTAAAAATGACAGTTTACCTCTGTGGTCTATCTCCCAGGAACCCAGAATCCCAGTATAAGCATGAAAGAAGCAACAAATTTCATTAGTGGGGCATCCTGCAAAGTAACTGACCAGTACTCCTCAAAACTGTCATTGTTATCAAGAAGAAACTGAATGCAGAATACATGGGAATTCTCTGAACGGTCTTCTCAATTTTTTTTTCTGTAAATCTAAAACTGTTCTAAAGTCTGTTAAAATCAGCATGATGATAAAGCCCAGTGCTCCTTACTAAATTCTATTTTAGATTCCTCACACTAACTTTAAAACATTAGTAAATAAAAGGTTATTCTGGCTCAGGAATTTAAACTTAAAAAATCCTAAGTAACTTTAAAAAGTATGCTCTAGTCTAAATGGCATATGGAAGCAAAAGCAGTGGCTTAGTCAAACAGATTTTCCATGTGTCTGTGGTACATAGATAATATCTGTTTTTGTGGCTAAATCTAGTCCTTAGTTCCTGGTAGAATTCAAAATTATATTTAAAACATTTGGTCCTTTATTGTATATTAATGTTTAGTGTTTTTATATAAATAAGTGTTTTTCCAAATTCCTTTTACAGATGATGATTCTGATACAGACACATCAAATGACCTGCCAAAATTTACAGATGGGATCAAGGCGAGAAACAGAAATCAGAACTACCTGGTTCCCAGTCCTGTACTTAGAATTCTAGACCATACTGCCTTTCCTGCAGGTTAGGAAAACTAATAGTATTTGCACATTTTATATAGATCAAGGAAAAACTAATGGATGTATAAGTTTATTTCTTCCAATTATGTAATTGATTTAATTCACTAATAGTAATAGACTTATTTCATCTTTCAGAAAAATCTGCTGATATTGAAATTTGTGATGAAGAGTGTGACTCACCTGAATCAGTCAACCAACAAACTCGAGAGGAGAGTCCTATAGAAGTTCACGCTGCTGAAGATGTTCCAATTGCTGCAGAAGTGCATGCAATTTCTGAAGATTATGATATAGAGACAGAAAACAATTCATCTGAGAGTCTCCCAGACCAAACTGATGAAGAGCCACCTGCTAAACTCTGCAAAATTCTTGACAAGAGCCAAGCTTTGAATGTGACTGCTCAGCAGAAATGGCCTTTACTGAGAGCTAATAGCAGTGGCCTCTATAAATGTGAGCTTTGTGAGTTCAACAGCAAGTATTTTTCTGATTTAAAGCAGCATATGATCTTGAAACATAAGCGTACTGATTCAAATGTGTGTCGAGTATGCAAGGAAAGTTTCTCTACCAACATGCGTCTGATCGAACACGCCAAACTGCATGAAGAAGATCCCTACATTTGCAAGTACTGTGATTATAAGACAGTAATTTTTGAGAACCTCAGCCAGCACATTGCAGACACACATTTTAGTGATCACCTCTATTGGTGTGAGCAGTGTGATGTACAGTTCTCCTCAAGTAGTGAACTCTACCTACATTTTCAGGAGCACAGCTGTGATGAACAGTACTTATGTCAGTTCTGTGAACATGAAACAAATGATCCTGAAGACTTGCATAGCCATGTCGTAAATGAACATGCGTGTAAATTAATAGAGTTAAGTGATAAATATAACAATGGAGAACATGGACAGTACAGCCTTTTAAGCAAAATTACCTTTGACAAATGTAAAAACTTCTTTGTATGTCAAGTATGTGGTTTTCGGAGCAGACTTCATACAAATGTTAACAGGCATGTTGCTATTGAACATACTAAAATTTTTCCTCATGTTTGTGATGACTGTGGAAAAGGCTTTTCAAGTATGCTAGAATATTGCAAACATTTAAATTCACATTTATCTGAAGGTATTTATTTGTGTCAATACTGTGAATATTCAACAGGACAAATTGAAGATCTTAAAATTCATCTAGATTTCAAACATTCAGCTGACTTACCTCATAAATGTAGTGACTGCTTAATGAGGTTTGGAAATGAAAGGGAATTAATCGGTCACTTGCCAGTCCATGAGACAGCTTGATTGATCTCTTTATTTTAATTTGCATAATGTTAATGTAAAATAAAAAACTGAACTTTTTTGGAGATGTTAAAATGGATGATTTTTAAACCCAACTTATGAGAATTGTATAACTAAGATTTTTTTAAATGTGCTGTTTTCTTGGCACTGCTACATTTTCAGCATATAGTTACAGACTAAGTGTGTATTTTCAGTGTATGTTCATAATTTAACCACTCTTGATGGCCATAATCCTGTTTCATGCATGTGCTCTGATTTCATGAATTGGTAAGAAGCATTTATACTAAAGAAGCTAGAGTAGAGTTTTCCTTCCGTCGTCATAGGTGCTATTAACATGCTCATGACACATGTTCAGTTGTTTGTGTATGAAGTCATTGAAGCATTGCACTTGCCACAGCCAAAGTGCAACATAATATATAATTAAGTCCACTGAATATCTGTTAATAAAAACCCCTTTTGTATTCCCTATCAGTCATTATCCCCAGGACAGTCCGTGGGCTTTCCAACTGTGTGATTCTTGTAATAACACTAGGAGACCAGGTTCCTGTAGAAGGGAAAGATTTCATTGTCTTAGAAGTTTTTTCTTCAAATACTTTATTTTTAGCCCTACCTGTTTATTAAGAAATTTAAATAATTTAAAGACAGAAATGGGGAGGAACTAGCAGGGTGGGGGAAGGTAAGCTATAAAAAAAGTAATATTTCATAACCTGCTGACATTTCATGTTCAGTTATGCAATTGAAAAGTCATGCCCAAGCTTCTGGCGTCATTAATTGAGAGAAAACCTGTGAAGTGTTAATATAGGATTAGGAAATAACTAGAAAACTAGGAGTTGCTGAAATGATAATTTATATGTTACTTTTGATAATGGTCAGTTAATTTTACCTTCTATGTTAGTTCCCTGTGCCTGTTGTAACAATTTACCACAAACTAAGTGACTAAACAACAAATTTATTACCTCACAGTTTTGGGATCTAACAGTTTTGAATCCAAAAGTTGACATGATTGGTTTCTTCTGACAGCTGTGAGGGAAGGATATGTCCCAGGCCTCCTAAACTTGTAGATGGCCATCTTGATGTTCTCCCTATAACATTGGGTCTCCAAATTTTTGCTCTTTATCTGAACAGTGGTCACATTGGATTAGGGCCCATCCTAATACCCCATTTTAAGTTAGTAAAGTTCCTATCCCCAAATAAGGTCATATTCTGAGATACTGGGGGTGTAGACTTCAACATATGAATTGGGGGAGAGACAACTACAATTTTTTTTTAACATCATTGTTCATTTTTAAACAATATTTGCTTCCCCCACCCCCTCAGGTGTAGTCCCCATAGGGTTTCCTTCCCCAATGCACCCGTGCACCATCACCTCAGTCCCCTGTGTTCCTCCCTCCCTCCCTCTGATCCCTCTCCCTCCTCCTCCCCTGCAGGATGTCTCTGATTTATAATTGTCTGTTTTCGCTTTGTGGTATTTAGTAGTTACTATTTTTTTACACTGAGAGACACAACTACAATTTAATAGCAGCTTCTGAAATAGCAGTATCAAGAGGATAGAATTTTGTGTACCATTGGCCTCAAGTGTATAAACACTTTCTAACAATATTCCTAAAGTATATGGATATAGTTGGAAAGACCAGTTCATGATCTGGTTTTCCCACTTCATGGAAATTCTATTTTGAGAATGATGGCAGCAACAAGTATTTTCAAAACTAATAATTTTTTTTCCTACTGTTTTGTCCTATATACCTGTACTCTTAAAAATTGCCATTCCATCAGATTATAACATTCTGTATAGGGTCTGACAAATGTTTCTTAGAAGACTTGTAATAATTTAAAATTTGAAGAGAACCTTAGAAACCATCTGATCTAAACCCTTTAGTTTTCTGAATTTCTTATAGAAATAGAAACTTAGGTTATTATTAGGACAAGGTCACAAAACCACTTGTAGACAGGAATGGAATCCAAGTAATTTGGCTTCCAGTCTAGTGATGTTTCCATTACAACATGTTACATAAATATAAGGTTTGTCCTTGGGGTGTTTTTAATGACTAATTCACCTAACCATTCAGCTATCTTCCTAATGTCATTTTACTTTTTTGATACACAAATTTGATTTTTAGGAAACCTTCAAATAAGGAATATTTTGGGTTTTTTCCCCTATTTTTTACTGTCATATTTGATCAGGTATTAATTATCAAAGAGAGATTGTAAATGAAACTGCCTGAGATATTAAACCCAAGTTTTAGAGCCATATCATTTTTCACATAATGGTGAATCAGTAATTTGAGGCACATACCACTAACAGTTTATCCATCAAAAACTCTGGCTCAGCTTTCAAAGAAGTTTAACAATAAATTGCTGATGTGGCTAGTCTGTACTTCAGTTTAACTTGGAAAAACAAATGTATCTAAAAAGAAATTTTTTTTTTTACAGGATTTTTCCCCTTCAAAGACACATTCCCACTGTGCCCTTTAGTGACTTCAAACACAATTCAAATCTGAGAATACATAATTAATAGTGATGTTTATTAGCACTAAAATGAAATTTAGTGAAAAGTGATGATCATTTTTCCCTGATTTGGTTTTTAATCTTCACTTTGCAATGAGTTATTACTTGAAAGATTCCAAAGCATTCACCTGCATTCCAAAATCTAGAAATGATTATGTTCAATTCTTCTTGATTGTATATTTGCCATTTTTACCACTTCAAATTCTGTTTTGGTTTGGTTTTGGTTTTCGATTTTTCTGAATGGATATCACATATTAGCTAGTTTCTCAGTTTCAGCATCTATAGCCTGCTGTTAGGTGATTACTGAACTGTTGGCAGGTATATGCATAGGTTGTCTTTTTTTCAAGAGATTTTTTAACACTGCCTAATTTTTAAAGCTGATTGAATTACTGAATTACTTAATTTCTGGCATTTTACCACTGACCTTACTTTGCTTGTTTTGTTTTCTTACATTTTGCAAGCAGTTTAATATATTGCCAAACTATTGTGATTCATTTTTTAGTCCCTACAAAGCACTCTAAACTATGTAAATTTGAAATTGTTAATAAAAATGATGTGGCCACAATCCTCTTGGGAAGTAGACTGGCTTTCAAAAATATCAATGTCCATTAAGAATTCAAGTGAATGGGGACTCCCTGGTAGCTCAGGAATTAGTCTCAACACTATCAAGCTATTGCCAGCCACTGTGGCTTGAGGGCATGAGTTCCATCCTGGCCAGAGAGCTTGCCCACATGGTGCAGCACTCCTCTCCTGTCTTGCCTACTGTTCCCCTCAGCAGTGTATTTCAGTGGATCTGCCTGTTCTGCTCCCCACTCTGTGAATTTCTAAAATTAAAAATGAAATTTGGGGATATAATTCCTTTACCTGTAACTTTCAGTTCTGATCTACAAGTGAGAAGTTTTATTGATGGCCTTTACTTTATGGAATTACCTTTTACCTCTTAGTTTAGCTTTCCATACATTATCTTTTAAGACAACATTCAAATCTAAGAAAAAGAAGTGTGTGCATGAAGTTAAGTGTTCAATTTATAAATGAAACATTTTATGAGCTGATTAGAATTGTTGGGAGTCAAAACTAGTGATTTGAAAAATAATTTTTCTAGATAAAAAGACTTTTCATATTAAAGCATCAATCACCCAACTTCCTTATCAACATCATTCTTCTTAGCAACTTTGGTGTTAACCTGAACCCAAAATAAATCACATCTATAAAAGTAATTTCTTCATTCTGAAAAATAAACAATTTCTTCACATTGTTAAATGGAGTAATATCTACTAGTCATATTCCCACACTTTAAGAGGGATTATTAAACAGCTTTTTAAAAAGAATTTTTATCACAACCTTTTAAAAGTTTGGTTTTTGATTTATTTTGGTTTTTTGTTGGTTTGGGGGGTTTGTTTTGTTTGGTTGGTTTCCACAGGCAAATGAATATGACATGAGTAACCTTTTTTCTTGCTGAAAATATTGAGCTGAATGAATTATAGCCTAGAAAATGTAATGAAAATTGTGTTTGGCTTTCCAGTTTTTATTGGTTTACTTTTTTTTTTTTTAAGATTTATTTATTTATTTGTACAAGCACTGGGGTGCAGTCAGAAAAGAAGTGCGGGAGGTGGTGAGAGAATTCACCAGAGACAGAGTGGGGAACAGAACAGGCAGACTGATGAAGTACACTGCTGAGAGGAGCAGTGGGCGTGGCAGGAGAGGTCTGCTGTGCCATGTGGGACCCTCACCCAGCAGCCGGGGATCGAACTGGCGCTGCAGAGGCTGTGGGCAGCTTCGCAGCCTAGCGCTCAACCGCTGCGCCACCGGGGAGCACCCAGTATTATTTTTGTTCTTCAGGATAAACGAAGATCAGGAATTGGTATCATACCCATCAAATGTAATTTCTGTTGGCTGTTTTTTTTTTCTTTTTGTTGACTATGAATTATATGACTATAATCATGGGCAATGCATGTTATATTAAATTTTTCTCCATCGTCCATGGTACTCTGCCATTCCTTAAGAACTTCTTCTCTTCAATTTAACAAACAGCTATGGAATATCTATTGTCAAGCCATACACTCAGAGATATAAAGATAAACTATATCCCTCAAAGAGATTTACCATATAATGTAGGAAAACTTTCTGAACTCCAATTCAGTCACATATCAGATTAAGCACCTTTTATGTTTCGAATTATTTGCTTTATGTACAAGATGGCCATAAACATTCTTGTATATGTTGAGGTGTTTTGTTTGTTTTCCATTCTGGATTTTGTATGTATTTTTTGTATACATGTGGTTAAATACTCCAAAATATTATCAAGAATGGCTAAAATTTATATCCTCATCATTAGATCGTTTCTCTACATCCTTATTAACAAATAACGTTCATTTTTTAAATTTTCTGCAATCAGAGGATAAAGTACTACATTATTCTTGTTTGAATTTGCACTTTTTGATTACTAACAAAGTTGAAAATATCTTAATATGCTCATGAGTCATTTGGTTTTTCATTTTGTGAACAGTTGCTTCATATCGTGTATTCACTTTTCTATGGGTTTCCTGGTTATTATCAGAAGTTAATTATAAGTTTTAATTATTGGTGCTTCGTAGACAATATACACTGCAAAAAGTAGATTCCCAGGTTGTCTTATTACTAATGTCCTTTGTTGAACAGAAATTTTAAATTTAGTGAGATAGATCCATC